ATTCTCTCTTTGTTATGTGATAGAAAATCTTATTTCATGTCAATTTGCAATTGTACTATCCAGGGATTTAAGCACTAACAAGTTAACTGGACCTATACCTCCAATCTTGGGGAATCTGACCTACACTGAAAAATTGTAAGTTTGTGCTATGAAATTCAAAATACGTTGAAGTAGCTGCTAGTGTATTTCTTGAAAGATATTTTGATGGGAATACACCATACACTGTAGATATTTGCACGGTAATCAACTGACTGGATCAATTCCGCCGGAACTGGGTAATATGTCAAAGTTGCACTACTTGTAAGATCACATGGTCTTTGTTTATCTTGCACATTGCCAATGCCAATTGGCATCTGCCAAATATTTGTGCCATGTGATATCTAGTTGGCCATGTAACATATCGGTTATCTCGGTATTTCCTTGTGCAGGGAACTGAATGATAATCTCCTCACAGGGCATATTCCATCAGAGCTCGGGAAGTTAACAGAATTATATTATTTGTATGTTAGACTTTCCTGGTTGTTGAGTTTATGTTTGTTCTTAGTGTGTCATAAGCACTGATACATTTTCTTTTACAGGAATGTTGCTAACAACAAGCTTGAGGGACCTATTCCTAGTAATCTTAGCTCATGCACAAATCTCAACAGCCTGTAAGCACCGATCTTATTATTCCAATGCCATAACTTCCATTCCTCTAAATTTGAAAATCCTTAAACTTCGCTATCTACTGATTGTTTTGATGACAGTAATGTGCATGGGAACAAGTTGAATGGAACAATTCCACCAGCTTTCGAGAGGCTAGAGAGTATGACTTATCTGTAAGCTTCATTCTTGTTATGTTAATGATTTATTTGGTAGCACCAATCTACCAAATGGAGCCTAAATGATTGGTTCCATTGTTCATCATCTAACATATTTTATCCTTTTAATTTCCTTAAATCTTTTTTTTTTTCGCTGAAGCTCGTCACACTATCTTGTTGTCTTACCTCAGGAATCTCTCCTCTAACAATATCAAGGGCTCTATACCAATTGAGCTCTCTCGAATTGGTAATTTAGATACGCTGTAAGTATCAAGTGCCCAAAGGTGTTCATCTTTTATCGTTTTGTTGGTTCTTTGTTTTTTTTTTTCCGAATCAAAATGTTGGTTCTTAGTTGTTTGTTTTCTCCAGGGACCTTTCTAACAATGAAATTAATGGCTCTATTCCTTCATCACTTGGTGATTTGGAACACCTTTTGAAGTTGTGAGCATTTCTAGAAAACGGGATCTTGTTTAAGTGCTTCGCAGAGATTTTTGTCTTATTATTGTTTCTATTTTCTGTAGGAATTTGAGCAGAAATCGTTTGACCGGATTCATTCCGGCAGAATTTTCTAATCTTAGAAGTGTTATGGAGATGTAAGATAGCTTAATCTTTCTTTCATTACTAGACCCTTTTTTTCCATTTCTAACTTCTGGTCTCATCCTTGTACCTTATAGAGATCTTTCTTATGATAACCTATCAGGCATGATTCCTCAGGAACTCATGCAGCTTCAGAACATGTTCTTATTGTAAGTTGATCTGTTGACTCCATTTCTGAACCTTTAGGTACTGCACAGAACATGCATTTGTATATCTTTATAAGTATACATGTATATATTTATATGAAACATCAATAGTTCTGCAAAGAACGATATGCATGTATTCTTATATTCTGTTGATTTTAAACTGCCAGGAGACTGGAGAACAATAGCTTGTCGGGAGACGTGATGTCATTAAGCAACTGCATGAGTCTTACGATCCTGTTAGTCGACGATTCACTAGATTTTTAAATTTATTTTCAGTACAGCTTTAGTTAACAATAGACGGTAACACTGGCATCATATGACCCTATAAGTCTTATGAAACCGTGCAGAAATGTCTCCTACAATAACCTTGTTGGTGTTATTCCCGCAAGCAATAACTTTTCAAGATTCTCACCCGACAGGTTTGATGTTTATAATTTGAATTTTGAACATATGTATTTCTGAGCAGAAAAGCTTGGTTTAGATGCTGACTTTTCCCAAGTAAAAGCTAACTTAGAACTGACAACTGTTTAAGTTTTATCGGAAATCCCGGGCTTTGTGGCTATTGGCTCTCTTCTCCATGTAATGAGTCGCATCCTATAGAGAGAGGTAAACATTATTCATCTATTTTGAAATGATAATAGTGCCAATATTTTTAATATCAAGTTCTTTGGTTCTATTTGGATGAGTATTCATTTTGCTCCTTACTCTTATTGATGCAGTTGTGTTATCCAAAGCAGCTATACTAGGCATTGCACTTGGTGCCCTAGTGATTCTTCTGATGATCTTGTTCGCCGCTTGTCGTCCCCAAAATCCTCTGCCTTTTCCAGATGGATCGGTGGATAAACCAGGTGCCTTCTTTTTTTATACATAAACAAATGCAAGCTTTTGACTCGAAGTCTTTCTAAAGATGCTTTATTGACTAATGGACTTATTAAATGCAGTTACTTACTCGAGGCCGAAACTAGTAATCCTTAACATGAATATGGCTCTTCATGTTTATGAGGACATCATGAGGATAACCGAGAATTTGAGTGAGAAATATATAATCGGCAATGGTGCATCAAGCACGGTATACAAATGTATGCTTAAGAATTGCAAGCCTGTTGCCATCAAGAGACTCTACTCTCACTATCCACAGTGCTTAAAAGAATTTGAGACAGAACTTGAGACGGTAGGGAGTATTAAGCACAGAAATCTGGTCTGTCTTCAAGGATATTCACTTTCCCCTTCCGAGAACCTTCTTTTCTACGACTACATGGAAAATGGCAGTCTTTGGGATCTCCTGCATGGTAAGTCTGTTTTATCTTTGCTAATGTTTCGGGGTTAGAATATGCTGGTAACATATTCTTTCTATATTCTATGGTAAAAGTAGCACCTTATTAGAACCTTACGAATGGCCAATTTAAGATATCCTTTTACCGCAGTTTCTACTAAGAAGAAAAAGCTTGATTGGGTCACGCGTTTAAAGATAGCACTAGGAGCAGCGCAAGGGTTGGCATATCTTCATCATGATTGTAGTCCCTGGATCATCCACAGGGACGTCAAGTCATCTAACATTCTGTTGGACAAGGATTTCGAGCCTCGTATTACTGATTTTGGCATTGCGAAAAGCTTATGCATATCGAAGTCTCACACTTCCACGTACATAATGGGTACCATTGGTTATATAGACCCCGAATATGCTCGCACTTCTCGCCTGACTGAGAAATCCGATGTCTACAGCTATGGGATCGTGCTACTTGAATTGTTAACTGGAAGGAAACCTGTAGACAATGAATCCAATCTTCATCATCTGGTTAGTTTTATATCCATGATCCATCGTTTTGATGGGATATTCTTCATTTTGGGTTGATTACATTATGATTATCATTTCATTCGCCTACCAGATTTTGGCAAAGGCTGCCGAAAATGCAGTCATGGAAACCGTCGATCCAGAGATCAACGGGACATGCAAGGATCTCGCGGCAGTCAAGAAAGTTTTCCAGCTAGCCCTTCTATGCACCAAGAAACACCCGTCGGATCGACGACGATGCACGAAGTGACACGGGTCCTAGGAAGCCTGTTGCCACCAGACACCCCACCAACAAAACAGCCAGCTTTGATCCAATCGACAGCACTTCCGTCAGCCAAGGTCACGAGCTACAAAGACGAGTATGTAAATCTCAAGACTCCACACTTGGTCAATTGCCCATCAATGAGCACCTCAGATGCCCAACTGTTCCTAAAGTTTGGAGAGGTCATATCCCATGAAACCATCAATGTAGGATCAAAATATTCCAAGAATGAGCACAGCAATGAGGATAAGATCATAGTGAAATGTGTATAAAGACACTATGGTATCTCAATTATTGTAGGTTAGAGTAAAAAGGAAAAGGATGGGACTTGAAAGTTGGTAGCAGGCAGTACCACAAATTAATATGATGTTGTATAGATTGTTTTGTGGAATTATGTTGGTAATTTTGTCGTTGTCTCCAATGGGGTCTCTCTGACACCGAAAACTCAGCTTCTGGCTCGGTGGGGTCTGGGTTTAAGGCCGAGATGGGTGGGATTGCAGTGGCAGGTCTCATTATATGCATGACCAGCAATAATGCACCGAGGGGCCTTTGCTGTGATCTGCCTCTTATGAACCTTACCTCTTATCTGTTGTACATCTCTTTGAAAACATCACCAATGATTTGCCTACATGTCACCATCTTATAATTATCTTCTTCTCAAGGGTTGTGCTTTAATCCAACAACCGGACAGGGTCTTTTTCAGACCGTAAGATCGGAAAACTGTGATGGTCTTCGGTTCGGTTTGACTATTTCTGAAATTAAACAAAGCCGAATGGCCAAGTTTTTCATCCATTTCTCAGCTTAACAGCCAAGCAAATAAATTATTAAATTAAAAACTGTAAGAACGTATAGTTGACTCTGTTAAAATAGGAAAATTTTTTGGAAGCTTGCTCCGTTTTGTGCTCAACACTTCCACAAAAACACACTTACATATATTTAACTGTTCTAACTTTGTATAAAACTAAAAAACTTTAAACTTATACAAATAATGTTATATATATGGATCCTAACCTGAATTATATATATATATATATATATATATGGTAAATGTGAACCACTTGTGAAACTTAAATGCATATTTTATAAAATGCTATTTTACTTAAAATATAAACCAGATTCGAACTTGATACGTGTCTTGCTCAGTTTTTGTATATTACGTTTGTCCAAATATTCATTTAAAATATGAACCCAATATTCAAAGCCCGAGCCTTGTCTAACTCTTTCCATAATTATAAAATGCTATTTTACTCTCGTTTTATGTAATTGACTCTTCAGTGAGAAGGCACATCACAATTCCATGGAGAGAACATGAACGATAAAACAAACATAAAATATACCAAAAAGTATACTCTATTATGATGTAAATGCTGAACAAATGTTAAGTTGTTTACACTTGGAAAATTTTAGCACATAACAATACCTGGAAATTTTATCTTTACGTCACGTAGAAGTCGGGCAGCCATCGAGCCGTATCTTCTTGCCTCACTTTCACTAGGCTTCTCATCGGGGAGTCTTGTCAATGGGAGATCGTCGATCAAAGAACTACTTCCACGGTTGTCCTCCTCGTCTTGATCAGTTTTGCTTGGTTCAACCTTGTTAACTTGGAGGTCAATATCCTGAGTCGTTTTCTCCAGAATCTGTGTTAATGGCACACTCTGCCTTCTCTGCAATAACAGCAGGTACTTTACCCCCATAATGAAGAGTTGAATACTCGGATGTTGGTACTTACTGTCCATCTGCATAGAACGAGTAAAAAATTAATCAACTTCAATGAGTGGCAGTTTCACAACAATGAAGATTGGAAGAATTTCTTATCCGAGGCTCAAACCCGTGGATAGTTTCGAGAATGGAAGAGTTTGAGAAAAGTTCAATTTGAAAAATAAAGGACCACCCTTGAATTGATCATCGGCATCTCAATACACAAATGATCGTGCCGGTTGTTCATAGCGGCAGTCTCCAGTCCGGGTTAATATCAAGCACAACAGATGGTAGATCATGCGGCATTCCATTTCAATTTTAAGAAAGTGTATAAATTGTGTACCTTGGCTTTTGGGACAATATTCACGTCAAAGAAATTTTTCCAAGTTTGAAGCATTTGCTCATGGACGCTAGTAGAACGGATCTCATGACCCAACTAAACAGGGCATTTAAAAGCAAAAACGAGTTCGAACACCGAATAAAACAGTTCCAAATGAAATTTTGGAGAAGGTATAGCAATACCATAATTGTGGTTTTGGGGCCTGATAATGCGATAATTGTTTGTAATAGAGGTTCCACAAGATGCTCTGCATAAACCTTAAAAGGCAAAGAAGCATCAGTCCTATATATGCAACTATTCTACACACAGTTTCACGTTACTACAAGAAAATTACCAGAATGACATAAAAATAAACTTTTCGGAAGAATCTATGCTTCTGGAAAACTTACGTCTGTGTCGATAAAGTAGTCAAATGGTGGAGCAGCAGATTTTATATGATGTTCATTTCCCCAATCCAACTCCGCAACCTTAATTGATCCAAATGAATCTAAAACAAACAATACTTCCCAAATGAGATAAAAAAAAAAACAATTATGTCTTTAGTTTCTCCAATACCATTGCTATGTAATTGCCAAATAATTCCACTACGACTTAAGCCAAATTGTTCGGACAAGATTCGTTATGGCACTTTGGTGGGCAAAAGGAAAAAAAAATGAAAATTAAACGAATCATGTAAACTAAATTAGAAGAGCTAAAAAAAACTCGCACCTGAATTAGAATTCATCTGCATGACCCTTGAGCTATTGCGTTCTACATTTCTCCTCAACAACGGCATGACCTCAATTTGGTCTGTGGAAACTACATGACATCCTAGCAATGCCATTCCTGGAAATCACGGTTGAGTCGGATTAAGTAATGTCCGAGCAAATAATGCAGTTATAAAAGACTTGTTGAAAGTCAATTAAGGGGTTAAGGAAAGTCAATTAAGAGGTTAAGGAAAGTCAATTAAGGGGGGCACCGAATTCGGTGGATTGGGCATCAAATTCGGTGCATTAAATTTCTATTGAAAATGGAAATGGGCAAACTGTATTTTAGTCTCTGTACATTTTAGGGTATTTACAAGATTAGTCCTTAAGCTTCAACTATAAATACTCTAACCCATTTAGCTTCAATATCATCCCAAATCATTTCTTTCTCCCAATATTAAAGAGTTTAGAGAGTTCTCTTGTGAGTTGTGAGTGTTTTGTAAACACCTGTAAATTTTCTCTCTTTAGTAAAAGATCTGCAGCAGTCCGGAGACGTAGGCAAAATTGACTGAACTCCGTTATCAATTTCGGGTATTATTTTTCCGCTTTTATCTCGTATTCTCACTAATATGGTTATAGGGAAATTACTCGTACTCGTTTATTTCCCAACAACTGGTATCAAGAGCTTTTGGTGGTGAATTTTTTCGGTTTTTCTATGAGGTTACTATTTACGTGAATAGTGAATTTTGTGAATAGTAAAATTTTGTCAGCGATACGAATTTTTTGACGGAGGTGTTTTAATACACGGTGGTTCGCGGGAATTGTCAAAAACGATCCAAAATAAGCCATATTCGAGGGGGAGCGATGGATTTGAGAAACGAAGTGGATGAGCGCAAGATGGAGCTGCTTATATGCAAGGGAGCAATGAGTGAATGGGGTGCACTCAAGACCTTCTTGGAAGGACTTAGACTAGGGGCGATGCTCGGGGGAGAGCAAGGAGATGCCCAGAGACTTTCGGAGGCCATAGCTGTAGTTGGAAAACTGACTGAGCTTGTAAGAGTCAAGCCAAGTAGCAATGTGTCGTCCAGGCCCATGCCCAGGGATAGTGGCAACAGTGGGGGAGACCGGGAAAAGGTGCAGCAGGGAGATGGTAGAGAAAGCTCTTCGAATGGCCATTGTGAGTCATCGATTGTTCGTAGCCAAGGAAAGCCATCGGGAAAGAATGACAAGGCTAAGTCCGGTGCAAAGAAGAAGGCGAGCAAGAAAAAATTGAAGTGCTACTTCTGTGATGGTCCTCATTTGATTAGAGGATGTCCCGAGAAGCGTCGCCTTACAACCACCATGAAGAGGATGGAAGAAGGAGAAGTAGCAGAAATTGGCGCGGTCACAAGTGTTAAAGCTACCAAGCCAGGAAAAAGACTTGGCCCGATTGATGGGATCAATGCGACCAAGCAAGGATCGAGCCGTGGAGAAACTGCAGGTGTCAAAGCAGTCGAGAAGGGACCCAGTGCGATGGCAAGAGATAAAGCCGTCAAGCCGATGGTGCAAAGTGAACAAGTCCGCTCACAATATGCTAGGATGGAGGCGTGGTCCAAATTGAGGCGTCTCAGGCATAAAGGGACACTTAAGGAGTATGTGAGTCGATTCAGAAAACTTATGCTCAAAGTCCCGAGTTTGACTGAAGAAGATGGGTTCTTCACCTTCATGTTCGGATTGAAGCCATGGGCGAAGAAAATGTTGGAGCGAAGGGAAGTCAATGAGTTGTCTAAAGCCTTGACAACCGTTGAGTCCATCAAAGAATTTGGAGTCAAGAAGAACAAGACTTCCAAAGCAAAGCCGAAAGTCGAAGGTAGCGGCAAGAGATTCTGTAATGAAGGCAAGTCAGAGGATGAAGAATGTTGTTCCTCAAGTGGAAGAGAAAGTCCACTCAATGATAAATCAGATGGTGAGTCTGGGGAAGATGTGTGCAGTCTTGGCACAAGTTCGAGTGTCAAAGATGCTAAGCCAAGGGTAAGAGTCAAGCAAACGAGGGGGCGCAGACTTAAGATGATAGAAGTGTTGCAAAATTACTCGAGAGGAGCCAAGTCATCTAAGGTGATGAATGAACCCAAGATCAAGTTGTCCAGAGAAGAGGACGAACCCAAGATCGAAGAGGCGTTGGGAGTTGGCTCAATAAGGTTCATTTCTTCCAAGACGAGTAGAATCCAAGTGCAAGAAGAGTTGTCCATGTCCAATGAGTTTGCCGAGCATGTTCGTGTAGAGAACATGGCTTCAAAGACCATCTTAAGAGAAGGGTTAAAGCAGGGGTTGCCGAGGATGTTCAAGTGAGGAACAATCCTTCAAAGACTAGTGAACAAGAGTCGGAGGGAGCCAAGACGATAAGGGACAAGGAAACCACGGAGAAACTGCCTAATAACAAGTGGGTTTACAGGACGGTGACTACGGAAAAACTGAAGTTATGTTCAGCTTCAGTTGGCATGCTAGAGTAACGAGACTAGAAATACTGCTGCATCGATCGAGGTGTGAAGACAGATTAAAATCAATCTTCAAGTGGGAGATTGTTGAAAGTCAATTAAGGGGGCTAAGGAAAGTCAATTAAGGGGGCTAAGGCCCCCCCGAATTCAGTGGATTGGGCATCGAATTCGGTGAATTTAATTTCTATTGAAAATAGAAATGGGTAAATTACATTTTAGTCCCTGTACACTTTAGGGTATTTAAAAGATTAGTCCTTAAGCTTAACCTATAAATACCCTAACCCATTTAGCTTCAACATCATCCCAAATCATTTCTTTCTCTCAATACTAATGAGTTTAGAGAGTTCTCTTGTGAGTTGTGAGTTTTTTGTAAACACCTGTAAATTTTCTCTCTTTAGTAAAAGATCTGTAGCAGTTCAGAGACGTAGGCAAAATTGGCTGAACACCTTTATCAATTTCGGGTATTATTTCTCCGCTTTTATTTCGCATTCTCACTAATCTGGTTATAGGGAAATTACTCGGTTAATTCCCAACAAGACTTCCCCCATAACCCGACCACGAGTACTAATTGTACAAAATTGGCACAATCCAATTCACCATTATTAAAAACAATATCGTTCCTCATTTTTAAAATCGACCACATAACGGCTCTTGGGAAAAACCCTTAAACTTTTGATCGGGGTACAAGATCAAACCAAACTGAAAATAAAGCTACAGGGTACTCCGAAATTGCAAAGAAAACCTCCTAATATCGCAAAAATTTAGCCCATAATCCCCAAGAGACTTTGCAAGAAAAGAATGGGTGAGAAATTATTTCTTGAACCAACCCACAAAACGGACAAGATGGATCTTCTATACCTTGCATCCCACGTTTTATTAACTATACTTTGACAACAACCTTCTTGTGCACCACCTACCAAACAAAAGATTCAACTCGAGGAGGAGCCACACCAACCCACACATTTCTTTCCCACGGAAAACTATCAATCGAGCTTCCAAGAAAGATTTTAAGACAATATTTCATTGAAAAACACCTATCACCTTCTCCTGTCCATACAAGACTATCATCAATCAATGGCGTAGGATTAAAATTATACAACAATGCCATAAGCTGATTCCATTACAGCAACTCCCAATCGACAAGATTTCTCCTCATGGCAATATCCCAAAAACAACCTGACGAGTTAAATTCCTGAAATCAATAATCTTCCCTCCTTATTGTTTGATAATGTGAACAAACGAGGAAAACATACCTTTAATGGAACTCCGTCCAACCAAGCATCATGCTAGAACCTGATTGAGTCCCCTTTGCCCGCCTTCCGTAGAAAATTACTCTGCAAACATACCTCAAATTCATTATTTGAACAACAATTCTTCATGACCCCTTTCCATATCCAAGAAACTTTATAAGAGGCCGAACTTTCCACCCCATAGAATTTGGGTCAATATTGTTTTTACAACATATTATCCTTTTCCACCAGGAGTTCTTGTCACTCGCAAACTTTCAAGTCTATTCTCCCAATAAAGCTCTATTCATAAGCTCTACATTTGGAACCCCGAGCTCTCTCAAAGCCTTAGGCTTGCAAGCAGACTCCCAATTTACCCAATGAATTTTGTTTTTAGCGCCCAAATCCCTCCGAGAAAACTTGCCATAATTGAGTTAAGCCTCTTCAGAACACACCTCGGCAGTTTGAAAATCGATATGAAGTAGATTGGTAGGGAGCAAAGAACCGACTTTATCAATAAAACTCTACCAGCGATGGATAGTGAGGCTGACTTTCACCCAGTCAATTTTTTATTTTTTTTATAGAACTTTTGAATAATCGGATCCCATAGTGAAACTGAATTTTTCTTCACCCCAAGAGGTAACCCCAAATAGTCCGTTGGGAACTAACCCACAGTGCACCCTATTGTTGCAACACAAATGGCTCTGTCATTCACGTTGATACCGAATAACCTGCTCTTTGAAAGATTAATCTGCAACACAGACATCAATTCAAAGATCATAAGCACTCTTCTCACATTCTTCAACTCCCCAATTGAAGCATTACATAAAATTAACAAATCACCAGCGAATTGAATGCTATCTTAACCAGAGATCAATTTACTTTCAATTTATATATTGCATATTTGTCATGGTTTATAGCCTATTATCCTTCAGGATTTATGTGAATATATATAGGGGGTCTTGATGAATTTCTGTTAGTGCAATAGTTCTGATATTCATGATTTGTCTAATTTTACCTCTTGTTTACAGATTACTTCTAACTTTTATTCTCCAAACATGAATGTTGGAAATGAAAACTTTTTCCTACTTCTTAAACAGCTTGACGAGTGCATATCGTAAGTTACATTTTTACTTGGTCCATCTTTGCAAATTAGTTAACAATTGCTTAATAATTGTCCCTTTGATAAGCAATTGTGATCAAAATTTCTCATTGATTTTTTTTCATTGTAGGTATGTTGAAAGTAATCCGCAATATGCAGAATCCAATGTTTATTTGCTAAAATTCCGTCAACTGCAGGTAAGGAGTTATCGTGGCGATCTATGGATTGTTTTTAGTGAATGAAATGTATGCATATAAACAGATAATTTTAATAAAATATATGGAAACTTGTTTTGACCAGGGTTTCAAATCGCGGTCGCGTTTTCGGTTATTTCA